TTGCTCAAAGCTTTGTATTCCCTTTCTCTTTTTTTCTTTTTTCCAAGCATTAGGGCTTTCTTGAGCATTTCTTGTAGTGGGTGTCTTGTGGCAATGAACTCCCTTAGCTTTTGTTTATCTGGGATAGTTGTTATTTCTCCATTGTATCTGAAGGATATTTTCACTGGATAGTATTCTTGGCTAAAAGTTTTTGTCTTTCAGAATTTTGAATATATCATTCCACTCTCTCCTAGCCTGTAAAGTTTCTGCTGAGAAATCTGCTGAAAGCCTAATTGGAATTCCTTTGTATGTTATTTTTTTTGTCTTGCTGCCCTTAATATTTTTTCTTTGTCATTGACTTATGCCAGCTTTACCACTATAAGCCCTTGGAGAGGATCTTTTTTTCTTGATATATTTGGGAGATCTACTGACTTCATTCACTTGTATTTCCAGCTCCTTCCCCAGGTTTGGGAAGTTCTCATCTATTATTTCTTTGAACAAGCTGTCTGCTCCTTTTTCCATCTCTTCTCCCTCTGGAGTACCTATAACCCTTATGTAGCAGTTCCTAATTGAGTCAGATATCTCTCAGAGAATTTCTTCATTTCTTTTTAGTCTTAGTTCTCTCTCCTCCTCCATTTGAAGCATTTCTGCTTTCCTATCCTCAATAATGCTAATTCTTTCCTCCATATTATCAGCTATGTTCTTTACAGATTACAGATTTTTCTTCATCTCTCCCATTGTGTTTTTCATGTCCAACATTTCTGATTGGCTTTTCTTTATAGTTTCAATTTCTTTTGTGAAGAAGCTCTTGATTTCATTAAATTGTCTGTCTGTATTTTATTGTAATTCGTTGAGCTTTCTTATGTTATCTATTTTGAATTTCTCTTCTCTGTCGTTTAGGTTGTAGATTTCTGTGCCTTCAGGGTTGGTTTCTGGGTGCTTGTCATCTCCCTTCTGTTCTGGAGATTTAATATATTTTTGCATGGTCCTTAGGAGTGTGGACTTATTTTTCCTCATCCTGAAAATATCTGGTTGCACCTGCTGCCACTAGGTGGAGGTCAAGAGCTGTGTATTCTGAGCCCACTGCAATCTGTGGGTGCTCTTGCCAACCAGGTGAGCTGAAGTGTGGCTGAGCTGAAGCAGTTGAGGCTGAGGGATGGCTGAGCTGAAGTGCTGGGCGGGCGGAAAGGGGTACTGACTTTCACCTACCGGATCCCAGGGGCTTCTTGCTCTTCCCTCACTATCTGACTTCCTGGGGTGCTAAATTGATGAAGACACCCATGCAACAGTTCTGTTCCCTTCATGAGGGAGTTACCCACGAGCTGTGAGGGAACTTGGAGAGCAATGGTTTTCAGGTGGAGGACCATCCCTCTCCCATCTCTCTGAGAGCCGTGTGGTCTCGATCTCAGGGTTGCTGTCATTGGGGAAGGAAAGGAGTTCTCCTTATGTCCTTCCACTTCCTCTGGGGGTTCCAGCACCTCCGTCTTCAGATGTAAAGCTACGTGGGTCTCTCAACATCTTTTGTGTTGTGTGAATGTCCTCTGTTGGTACATGAATGTCCTTTTTGTCATATCTTAGAGGGGAGAGTTTAAGGGGGAAAGCTCACTCCACCGTGATGCTAATGTCACTCTCCCTGCTTTTTTGTCTTTTTTTTTTTTCCTGCAGGGAATTATTTGCCTTGAGCTAACATCTGTTGCCAATCTTCCTCTTGTTTTTTTTGCTCCCCAAGACCCAGTACATGGTTGTACATGCTAGTTGTAAGTCGTTCTAGTTCTTGTATGTGAGCCACCACCACACCATGGCAACTGACAGACAGGTGGTGTGGTTCTGCGACCAGGAAGCAAACCTGGGTGGCTGAAGTGGTGATCACCTAACTTTAACCACTTGGCCATAAGGGCTGGCTCAGTTATGTGTTTTTTATTTTCCCAGTTAGTTGCTCAAGCTCCCACATCTCCTATTAGGAGGATGCCTGCTACCTCCTTCCTAAGCCAAGGGCTCCCTCAGGCCAGTGGGGGTCTGGGGATCAATTCTGCTCTCATGAACTGGAGGACAGACAGTAGCGGTTGCCTCTGTTTGCTATAGGACTGATGTTGAAGACCATCCACACAATTCTGTAGAGGATACTTGTCCATCCAGCTGCTGGGATGCCTCTATAAAGCCCAGGCTCAGCGGTGCTCTGTGGTGGGAACAAGTTCTGCTCTTTTGAGTTCCTACTCTGATGCTCAGGACTTGTTACCCAAAATACACAGAAGGCTGGGTCTGGAAGAGTTTCCATCAGCAGCTCTTACTCTCCCTGTGCCTCCTTTGTTACTGGATGGTCTCCCCTTTCCCTCACGGTAATTTGACTTCAGGAAACTTTTACTGCTCGTGGATCCAGGTGGGCCAATATGTCTCTCTTACATCATCTATCCAGGAGATTTCTTTCCCCCCAATTGGCCAACAGCACTGCTGACTGCACACTGGGGGTCAGAGGGCAGGCATCTCAACACCACTGCCCAACAGAGGAACACAGAACTGCTTCAAGATAGCTCTCTGCCTCGCCTACTCTGAAAAACTTGCTGCAATTCTCTCACCAACAAAACCATTCCCAGCTGGTCAAGCATCTGCCAGTAGATGGTCTCTGTTATAAACCTTCCTTGCCCCAAAATGTCTATGGAGTCCTTTAGAAAAACAGAAACCTCTCCCACCAAAATAGCTTTATTGAGATATAGTTCACATACCACACAATTCATCCAGTTAAAGTGTTATACAGTCCTTTTAAGATGATAATTGACTCTTTCCAAAGTCTGTTCTGCAAGAGCAAGGAAGGTGTGCCTTCCTGGAGACCAGCTCACTGTGAGGTTGGATTCTCCTGGGGCACCCCAGGAACCAGGCAGGGAGCCTGAATGAGAGTGGATTTCCTGCCACCCCCTTCAGGGAACTAATTGCTTACATTGATACACCAACCCCAACACCTGCCACTCAGTCTAGTGGCATCTCTGATGGTCCCATCCACCCTAGGGGTGAATAGCTCCTGTTTTAAGCTTTAAGCCAGTGGTGTGGTGATTTGGATTTGGACACAGCGTGGGCTGGTACCCAGACCAAGTTTTTACCCACAAGTTCTCATCTGCAAGGTGATAGGCTTCCCCAGTTCTGGGGCTCCTGCAGGCTGAGAAGGGGCTGCCATTGTTCTCTACCTAGGAAACTCTCTCCCTCTCTTCATTCTTGGTGGTAGGATGCGAGCTGTGGGAGCAGAGTTCCTTTTGCATGGCCATGGGAGAGGTGTCTGGCCGTGTCTCCCCGTCCTGATTTTTTAACCACCTTCCGCTAGTGTTTCTGCAGCTGGGGGCAGGCAGTTAATACCCTTAAATTAACTAAGCTGAATCCTTGTGGGGTGGGGAGCTCCGCGCTTTCATCTCCTGTGGGCATTAGCCTTAATTTCTGGAATGCTAAGGCAGATATACAGAATGGGGTCAAGTCACCAGAAAATGGCCATCTTTCCCACAGGTCAGGTGAAAGGATGGCTATTTTTATTTTCCCAAGGATCTTAGAGGTTATCTCAGACACAGCCCCTTCCCCAGACCCAAACTTTAGAAGTTCCCAATGGATAGATGCTCTGATTAGAACTCATAGTCCCCGGTGGTGCCTTGGTTTGTACAGAGCCCTTAGCCAGTCTCTCAAATGAGAAATGTCCTTGTTTCTTTTCCCACTTGCTATGGATCAGTGCATTCTCCCTTCTGGAATTAGCCTCAATGACTCCAAGAGAGTTGGAATCCCTCTGCACCAAACCCTTTGTGAAGGTGGCCCTGCCATGACTTGGCCTGCCTCATGCACCGTTGGGTCTGACACCTTCTCCAGGAGCTTGCTGGAGCACAGGATCTGTCAGCATTAGTCGTCTTCCCAGGTTTCTAGGAATCCCACGGGGGCCACATAACTCTTCATAGCTCCAAGCACACATTGTGTGGCCTCTGCTTCTCCACCATGATGATGGAGGCTTTCTCTACATGAAGCCCATGAAGGTCCTGTGGGCCATCTCATGACCTCCTTCATCTCTGCATTTCTCTGATGTCTGCCACTCTCACAATTTTCAGCCAAGTTCCCAGTCCTGCCTGGAATGCCTGCTCCCCAAGGCTATACCTGTCAAATCGTGTCAACCACATCCCTCCTGGAACCTCACTGGCCCCAAAGTCTCCCCTGGGAGTTGGTTCTGAGCTATAGGGTGTTGTCATTCCCAGTGCACTCCTGGCCCAGGTGGTGGGGCAGCCCTTTCTTGTCCAGGAAGAGGTTCAGTGTCTGAAGAAATTCAGAGTCTGAGGTAGAGACGCTAACAAATCATTTTGGAACCACACCTGACTCCTCTGCCTGCCTGCCTAGCGCTTTCAGAGAATTAGACTTTTTAACAATCAAAAATTTTTTAATTTCCCTTCTCTGCTTTCTGGAAAATACTGGATATGTCCATTATCTGTCTTGGCTTGCTCAGGGAGGGCAGGGGTTGGGGTGGAGGGGAAGTGAACTAACCAACCAGCTTCCTCACAAACCAGCTGCAGGCCCTGGCCAGGAATTTCACAAAGTGGCAAAAGGAGCTATGTAACATTTCCTGTTCTGACCTAGTCCCCTTCCTGCCGGTGACAGCCCAGCTCAAGGTTACCACACTGCTCATCTGTGAAGCAACCTTCCGGTGAGAGGGCTTAGTGTCCTGGCAGGGGCAGCCTATAAATGCAGGGCCTGCACCGCGCTGTCAAACCTCTCTGTGTGGCTCCTTGGCGTGGGTAAGTGTAGCTGCCAGCTACCCAGGGCAGGAGCCGACCTGCCCGCTTTCTGTACTCCCCCACCATGTTCCTTTCAAACAATCCTCCTCTTGGAAGCCCTTCCTGATTGACTTGCCCACTCTAAAGCTTCCTTCACATTTTCTTAGGTCATGTTCTCCTGGAGCCTTCTGTCCTCAAATGCTCTGCTTTCGACTTTCTCCTGATATTCTATAAACCATTCTCCATGTGTGGGAGATGGTTGTCTCCCAGCTCAGTTGCAGGCCATGCTTTCTTTTTATTCTGTGTTGCCCCCTTTATTCCTGCCAGCAGCCAGCGGGAGGTGTCATGGAAGCTTGAGAGCCTTTTCTTCTAAGCACCTGAACCCTTGCTTCTCCATCCTCAGACAGAGTGCAGGAATATGGCGGAATTGTCCCAGATGGAGAGGAGCATAGAGACTATCATCAACGTCTTCCACCAGTATTCTGTGCGGCTGGGGCACCCGGACACCCTGAACCAGAAAGAATTCAAACAGCTGGTGCAAAAAGAGCTGGCAAACTTCCTCCAGGTAGGGCTGGATTCCTGTCAGGCCTGACCCAGCCTGGCAAGAGTCTGGGCTAAGGATGAAAGATGGGGTGCAGTCTGCAATTGTTGAGGAGAAAATTCTAGCTCCTTCAATGTACCCTCCAGAGGCAGCGGGAGCCCTGTTACTGGAGGTGTTCCAAGTCAGATGGCCTGAGAGAGTCAGGAAAAGACTGACTGACCGAACGTGTGCTGTGTGCCAGTAAAGGGCATGTAGTGGCGAACAGAGTCCCACTGTCCCAACAGGAGAGACACACAGCAAAGATGTTGACCAATAAAGAGCACAGAGAAATCCAATGTCAACAATTGTCCAAAAGAAAACAAGTGAGGGCAATGTGGGTGACTTGGGCTGGATCGGGAGAGGTTACTCATTAGATGGACAGGAAGGGCCCTGCTGAGGAGATGATATTTGAGTTGAGATGAGACGTTGAAGAGGGAAGAAACTGGGGATGACCTTTGGCAGAAGCCAAGAAGACTCCAAGCCTCAGATGGGACGTGAAGGAGAAACCTGAGATGGCTTTCTAATCCTAAGGGTCTATGGTAGGAATCGTGTCCCTAGGGGAAGCACCCAGCCCAACATTGCATGTGCTAAGCTCTCAGTACCACGTGAGTTTATTTCCCTGGTCTGAAAATGATTAGGCAGTTCTAGGACAAAGGAGGATTAGTTCCACAGGATCTTTTAGTTTTCTTCCTAAATGTGGGGACTTTGGGGAATCAGAGGCCTGGATAAGAAGGGTAGGACATTGGTTCCCAGTCTCAGTTCCGATCCTGGAGCTGCTGGCCAGCCTGGAGCCCCTCCTCATCTTGGAAAGGTGGAGAAGTGCAGGAGTAGGAGGTATTAGGGATGCTAACAGCTCCCCATAGCGGTGGATCTCAGCAAGATGGACACTGGCTCAGGGCAGATGAGAGGGTACAGCCAAGAGGTTGTGTGGGCAAGGCTTTTCTCCGTGTGACCCATATGCTCACACCAAGCCCCTACGTCCTCTACCAGAAGCAGAGTGATAGGCCAGAGGGGAAGCTGGGACCTGGGCCATGGGCTGCTCAGGAGTGAATTCTCTTCCTGGGCGGCGATGGCTGAAGTGCAGGAAAGCAGACCGTGGTGAAGTGCTGCAGGAGCCGGAAGGGCTGGGAGATGAGCTGGGCACCCCATGTTCTGAGGAGGGGACTTAGCTGAGGTGCCCCCACCAGTGGGTGGCAGAGCCAGAACCAACTGGAGCTCCCTTCTGCCACGCCTGGATCCTTCACCTCACCTCACATCACCCTTGCATACTTTATCAGTCCCTTTGGGGTCCACGCAGCACCCACACTGCTCTCTGTCCCCACACGAGATCAGAACCTGCTTGTTTTCCTCAGGTACTTCCCACGGTGCAGGTAGACGTGAGTGTCACTAATTAGTGACCCCGAGAGGGCAGGGAGAGGAGGGAACCGAGTGGACAGGAGTGGAGGGAAGGGGACAAGACTGCGCTCTGAGTTGGATCAGAATGTGCATTAGCATTCTCTGCTCCCAAGACCCGTCCGTCTGCAAAAGCTCATGACCCTTTCCAAGACAGTTTCTTCAATCTTCCTTAAGGAAGGTGCCAAGTCTCCTGTTAATATTGTCATGAGGACCCAATGAGGTGACATTTCTATATTTACTGATTGTGTGACCTCGGGCAAGTCACTTGACCTCAGTGTCTCTTCTGCAAATTGGGAGAATCACAGCTCCTGTATTGTCTGCGTGATGAGTGGGAAAGTGTCTGGCACACGCTCAGCATCTGCTACACTGTGGGAACTCAGCCATGGTCATTTTTAATTTTTGAATTGAGGTTCCGGTGCCAGGTGTCCCTGTGCCTTTGCCATTGGGTCATTTGCTGTGTTTTGTGTCCCCAGCCCTGGTCATGCCCTGCCCTGACTGTCCTGTCGCCCCCTCCCACAGAATAAGAAGAAGGATGAGAGAGCCGTAAATCGTATCTTGGAGGACCTGGACACAAATGAAGACAAGGAGCTGAACTTCGAGGAGTTCATCACCCTGGTGGCCCGGCTGACGGAAGCCTCTCATGAGACGATGCATGAGAATGCCCCTGATCCATATCACCACAGCCATGGGCCAGGCCTTGGGGAGGGTGGCCACTGCCATAGCCATGGTGGCCATGGCCATAGTCACTAATCAGGCAGCCCGGCCGCCTTGCCCTTTCTCCACTAGGGACACAGTGCTGTGTGCCACACTGCATGAGCTGTGGGCCTGGGGGATGGGGGATGAAATAAAGTCTTCCTCCAAGGCGGTGCTCTGTGTGCTTCTTCCACCACTCCCTACCCAACCTGTCCTTCCGGGAGGTCTGGGCATTAGACAGCCCTGCCCCTTAACTGGGGCTCAACCATTTCACTGGGTAATAACAAATGAGAAGCAGTGATAATGTGGGTCTATTCGGAGCCCCATGGGCTCACCTCCCTGACTGTTTCCTCACCTCTGACTTCAGGCCCCACTGCTCAGGTCCCAATCCCCTGCCTCAGCTCAGGACAACCTGTCCAGCCTGTCAAATTTGCTCTTGTCACCATAGAAAGCAAAAGGGGTTTATCCCTTTCCCTCCACATTCCAGCACCCCCTGACCCAGCCCCAACCCCCTCTTCACCCAGGATGTCCACACAACCCTCTCTCTCCTAGTAGAATCTTATTCCTCTGGAGGTCTTCCAGAAGTGCACCTAGACAGGGCTGTGTCTGAGGAGCAATACTGGAGTCTGGGCAGTGTGAACAGGGACATATTGGGTGTGTATACCCACAAGTACAGTTCCGTATCCACAGGAGCAGTTGGGTATCTCTTAACCAACCTAGCACACTCACCATGGATACCGGGGCAGGTGCACATATGGATGAAGGTTGGGGAGTCTGGCCCCAGCGCCCAGCCCCAGCAGGATGGGAGAGTGAGAAGAGCACCTGCCTGCCCCTTAGAAGAAGGAGCTCCAATCCTGCTCCACAGCTACAAGGCTCAGCCACCACATGAGGAGGTGGGACTCTGGGTCCAGAGAGCCTTTCTGGCCTAAAGATTCTGATTCTAAGCCTTGAGGGGAAGCTGACTTCTCTGGGTGACTGAGGTTCCTCCTGTCCCTGGTCAGTAGCTGAGAGCTGAGGCCAGCAGGGACACCTGCTCCTCTCTGCAAAACCTATAGCCGGGCCTGGCTCCCTGCTTCTCACAGAGGCTGCTGCTCCCGCCTCAAGCAGCCTCCAGACCCAACCACTCATTTCAGAGACATCCAGGTGACTCCTATGCCATCTCTCTCTGCCCTCAGGCCTGAGAGCATCACCATAAAGTCCCACTCTCAGGTTATCACCAGGCTGGAGTGGGCCTTCCAAAAACCAGAGCCAAATCAGGGGTGTCTGCCTTGCCCTGTGCTTGCAGCAGAGAGAAGACTCTGACAGAATTAGGATTTGGGGGAGACAGAAAAATACTGACAATCATCCAGCCCCTATGTTACAAATGAAGAAAACCAGGCAGAGAGTGGAGAAGGAGTCCAGAGTCATATGGGGTAGAGCTGGTCAAGATAACGTGTAGAGAAAAGGGCCGTGAACCCCATCTTCTCCATGGGCTGGATCTCCAGCTCCTTCTCTGGTTCTGAACACGAAGAAAGGAGCAGCCAGGTCAGATTTTGGCTCTCCCACACCGCCTGGCTGTAGCCCGGTCCCCAGGCTGCATGCAGTGGACCATATGGGGCGCTGCTCTAAGGTCCCAGGGCCTCTGCTGTGGGTACACGGATTTATGGCTCCCACTTGAGGGCGTAAGGGTGTTTCCAAGAACCACTCCAGGCTGGGAGCTTGGGGAGCAGAGTTTAGAAGCCCCCTAGCCTGTCCCTGTCTGACATGACTACACAACAGCTGAGGAGACTCACCTTCCGACGTCCCTGTCCCCTGCTCTCCTGTCCCAGGAGGGGTTGCCCCTTATGAATGCATCTTGGTAGAGGGGAAAGAAAACTGACCTGGGAGTGGGGAGTCTGGGTTCTATCAGTGGCCTCACCGGGACTAGATGCTCCAGTACAGTGGGGTAGGGTAGGCTCCTCTCACCCCCCTACACACTGTTACTTATCACAATGTGCCGTAAATATGTTTGTGACTCTTCCTGCTCACTAGACTGTGAACTCTGTGAGAGCAATGTCCGTGGCACCTGTCTTTTCTCTATTTTTTTCCCAGCACCTAGGGGAGTGGCTGATACATCATAGGTTCTCAACAATATTGCCTGTACCAATGCTCTAAAGTCTCCCTCATGCTCCATGCTCTCTTGTCGGGGGAAGGTGTGGAGAAAAGAGGGAGGAGGAGGCTGGGGTTAAAACCAGCAGATGGAAGGTTTCTGGATATCATCATGGGATCTCAAACTGGAGGTAGGAGCAGCGAGGTGATGGGAAATTTAGAGCCCTCTCCCACGGTTTATCCAGTCACCCCGGCCTTTATCTGTTGCACATAGAAGTTTCCATTTGAAGAAAAGTGTCTGTCTTGAAAAAAGTTTGAAAACTGTTTATTTAACCCAAACTGCCCCACACCTGTGATTGAGTGATTCTCCACACCATCACTCTCAAGTGGTTGGCCCAGCCGTGCCTGAACTCTTCCAGGAAAAGGAGTTTCCTCCTTTGGCTCCGACGCTTAGAAAGTCCTTCGTTACACTGAGCCAAAATCTGTCTCCATGCACCTGCTGAGCATTAATCCTAGATTCCTCCCACATCCGTGGCCACAAAATAAATCTAACCCCTTCCCTTCAGGCAACCACCAATCCACTTCTTCAGAACACTTTCCCTAAATCACTTCCAGGCTTTCTCCAGCCTCTGCATTTTTGCGCCAGGAATGCTGTCCCCACCCTGGGGTTTCTCGTATGCCCCTTAGGACCATGACGGCCCAGAGCCTTTGTCGTTGCCTCCAAGAAGACTACTGTGACCATCTACCTTCTCCAAGTACGTAGGGTCTTGGTCCTCCAGGCCCATAGAGCTCTATGAACTCAGACCACTGCACTTCCAATACAGAATTGTGATCCCTTATCTGCAAGTCTGACAATGGCCCTGAAGGCAGGACTCTGGTTGATCTGCCCCGTATCCCCAGGTGCCAGCATGGAACAGGTTCTCAGAGAGCTTTAGGGATGAGGAGTGAAGGTGGGTGATCCTAGGACACTATGGAGCTGGAGGGTGAGATTGGAGCCTGTGGAGAGAGTGTGAGGTGGGGACAATTTTGGGCATTAGGAGTGTGCCCACAGTCTAGCCACCTGGAGGCTGGGAGAGGGCGGAGCAGCTGAGCAGCAGAATGACAGGGGACAGAGATTCTGAGATGCCAAGAGTTCTCCTTTTGCCTTCTCCTTGCTGGCTCAATCCCAGAGTAGGAGGTTGTTCTAGGGCCCAGGGAAAGATCTGACAGCAAGCCACTCTTACAGAGCCCTGTGGGATCTCTTTAAACATAGTGCAAGAGAGCTAGTCAAGGTGACCTAACCCCTGCCATCTCATTAACCCCTTCCGTTCCAAAAACCTGGTTCTGTTGAGTAGAGGGGAGCTGACTCCACCCTCAGGTAAAGAAGGAGAGTGTCAGTGTCAAGGTGAGGATTTCCTCTCCAAGTGAGGATTGGCGAGTACCTCTATGATTCATGAGTCCTTTTAGAAACAAGAACTTTGGGGGTTTCCCTGGCATTGTGGTGACTAAAGAACAGAGATCCTGTGGTCAGACACCTGCTTCCCAGTTCCTAGAAGGGGAGTTGCTCTCCTTAGAGGTGGAACATGAACTTCTGGATGCCTTTCTGGGAGGATGAGGAAGCACATGCACAGCCAGAGCTGCCAGACTCTGCCCAACACTTCACAAAGCTCTGACTGTGTCCTGCGGCCTGGGTGATGTGAGATGCTTCCAGAATAGGGGGAGAGATGGATGCTCTAGTCATTCACCTGTTTGTCCACTCATTCACTCATTCAATAGACATTCATTGTGGACTTACTGTATGTTGGGAGCTATAGAATGCCCCGAGGGGCACCCAGGCTCTACTAAATCAGGCTCTACTCTGTTATTAAGGATCTTCCAGGCCTGCAGGGCAGACAAGACGGATCCTCAGATGATTCTAATATGGAAAATGAAAGCCCAGAGAGGGGTTAAGGGTGGTGGGACTTTCAGGTGGGAAGGCTGTCCTTCAGCTGGGCTGTATCCTGGAGGGGCGAACATTCTAGCCACATCAAGGCTGGTGGTGCTGGCACCCCAGCGTCAAAATGCAGGTGCTTCAGAAAGAGGAGGGCACATGTGCAAAGGCCTGGAGGTGGGCAGATGTGGAGTTTGAGCAGGATGAGGAGCCCTGGGGGTGTTTGAGGGGGAGGTGGGAGACACAGAGGAGAGCAGGGCAGATAGCAGGCCAATGAGTGTACACTTTCCACAGGAGAGAGGAGGGCAGAAGCGGTGGAGCTTTTAGGGAGGAAAATGATATAACCACACTTGTGTTTTAGAAAAGTCTCTGTATCAGTGGTCTGTGGGATGGATTTGTGGTGGGACTGAAACCCCGGGACGTGGTAGGAGGCTGCTGCCATAGTCCAGGCGAGAGCTGGAGAGAGCCCAGGTGGCGCTTCCCAGGGAAGATGAATGCAGCCAGGATCTCAAGGTGCCCCAGGCCCATCTCAACTGGCAGCCATGTCCTGCAACCCCTACAGCATAGAGAAGACAATTCTGTGATGTTTCCCTGAGAAAGGCCTCAGTGTTCACCAGCCCTGTGAAGCAATCTTGACACAAGCCCTGCTCTGAAGTCAACTCCAGATTCCATCCTCAATACCATGCCTCCCCTCCCAGTAGTTGTGAAAACTTATATTTTAGAAAGCCCTGTGTCATGGATTTGACTTTCCTATTATCAAAGTGACTACAGGACTCAAACAATGGGCTCTTAAGTCCTGTTGTCTCTGGGCCTGAAGCAATTTCTCTATCCCCAGACTCCAGTCAGCCCCATGGCCCTGTGGACCCAACCTCTGCCTTCAGAGATCCCCCCAAACACAGGAGACAGGGAGACCGAGCATCTGGGAGGCCTGGCTGGCCTCTTCCTGTGAGTGCCCCCAGGTTTTCCCTTTTCTCTTTGAGGTTTCCCATTTTGCCCATGTTCCCAGAATTGTCACATGCAGAGTGTACAGTGAGGGAGGTGGTTGTTCACAAATCTGAGGTGAGGA